ATAGAACGCGCGCGACCCTCGTGACGTCACATGTGACGTCATTATGGGACGTTTCCCATAATGCACCGCGCGGTTACGCCGACGGCGACGCCGCTCAAGCTCGAAACGGGCGCCTAAGAGCTGCGCTCTAAAAAGGACTTTATTTTCTTTAATTATGTTGTCGGCAGTCATAATCTACCTAGAGTGTCCTCTTATAGACCGACACGCGGCGCGACTCTGTTTAGTCACTTTGTTGTGTGGAGTCCGCTCACTGATGACGTTGTAGAGAGACTCCGACTTTATTTGTGCGTCGTATTTCCTGCCAACATATGTCGTATGTTATGTCCGACTATTTGAGCTCGCTACCCGACCCTGAACGGCAGCGGTAGTGGAGAACTGTGCTTGGACGGCGTTACCTTCGAGGATCCGTACGCCGTAAACAAGGCCTGCTGGACTTCTGATATGAAATTGCTGCCACCGACGTCGATGGCTCACGTTGTCGTTTATTTCGTTTTCTCGCCAAGCCAGTTCACGGCCGACACGGTGCAGCTGTACAGGTCACTGGAGGCCTACAATTACTTCGAGCCGCTTTCCACGCTGCCGGCTGCATCAGCGGACTGTCCGTCTGCGAAAGTGTATTTAATAATTGATTAAATGCACATAGCGTCCTTTGAGTCGAGGTATTATATTTTTCCTACCCTCATGACAACAAGGCACGACAAGCGGTAAGGCTTTGTCCGTTTTCCTGCCCATCTCCTTCCGACAATGGGCTTTTTCCGCAAATGTTGGGCGCCATCTATCGGCAAGCAGGAGAGGCTTTTTTGATGGCGTGCCTTGCTTCCGGTTCTGCCGTCTCCAAGCTATGTTGGCTGTCTGAACGCGGTCAGGAAATGCGCGCCTGCTCAGCGTTTGTTTTTCCTCTATCCAACACAATCGACGAGCAGATTTGTTTTCAATTAATGCGTTAGTTACGGACGACCTCACCCGTTTGTACACTTTTTTTTTTTTTTTGCGAATGAATCGACGACTGACTTCGCCGTGGCGCCCGTTGTGACTGACGACACCGTTGAAGCTCTCTTCGACCTATGAGAAAGTACAAATGGTAACTTAAACTAGGATTCACGTCATACACAGTATACCGCCAGTAAATTCAGAAAATATGCGAGCCCAAGTTACAGTGAAGGAACGCGTTTTTTTTTAGTTGCAAGCTATTTGTTTACTTTGCTCGAAAATTTTAATTGGCAAGATGTATTCTCATAAATGTGAAAGCTTTCTCTAAACCGTCCGAAAAACACCGGCGCCTGAACGTACCAATTTAATTCTCATTAAAGGTGTATTTTTGGTGGTGGATTTCACCTTGTAAAATTTCAACGCGTAGCTCCATTTCTATTATAAATTGAGACCAACATACTTGGCCGGGTCAACGGCGGACCGTTTCTCGTTTGCGAGCGCCGCTGGCCCTGGCGAGTTTGTCGGTCTCGTTTTTCACTGAAAAAAAAACAAAAAAAAGACGCCATTGTGAGATTTCACAATGTCGAATTCATTACTAAAATACATGTTTAATAAATATCTAAGATTAATACCTGCAGCCACCGATTTCTTAACGAGCCTCGTCATTGATGTCACCCCACTTCAGGCTACAGCTGTGTGTGACTGTAGGTCCTGAAGAAAAAACACAAAATTGGCCACACCTGTTTGCTTTTTTTTCTTTATTTTAGTGTAGTGCCTGTAGACAATGTTGCAAACTTTTTTTGTTTACTCGATACATACACGAGGACAACACATCAAGAGGATTGTTTCCTCTTTCTTATTTAGCCACAAGCCCAGCACATGCGGTCGTGGTATAGTGATAGATCTGCTCCCATTTCACTTTCTGGGTGTGCACGTAGCGACAAACTGTGCAGCATAGCCACTTTACCTCAATGATTTATAAATATTTGAAAACTGTGGGTTATTCTAATGTTTACAACAACCAAAAAGCAGACAGGCAGTTTGCATAGCAACGCGAGACCGTCACATTTGTAAACAAAAAAGTGTGCCAGGGAAACGCACTATCCTAGAAATGCCAACTCCAAGGCGCTCGCTCTGCGTGGCACATAAGTGAAAGGACAGTATAACTAACCAATCTGCTAACTTGTATTCACACACAAATAAAAAATGAAGGAACAAAAGCAAGAACCTTCCTTGAAGTGGCAACTGCAAACGCGGGAGTGCTTTGAAAGCTGCCTTTACGAGCCGTCCGCATTGTATCGCTGGATCGCCCGAATCTAGAGCTGCCGCTTCGTCGAGTGCAGGCTAGTAGAAGGAAACCCAAAGAAGCTTAAATCGCGACAACGCTTGCTGTCGTTGCTGCAGTCAACAACGAAACAGCGCTAGAGCCTGTCGGAGAGCTTCGAAACGCGCGACCACCGCTGCCTCCTGCAGCCCCGAGCCGGACGTACCACGCCACCAAAAATGGCGGACTCCTGTCTGCTGCTGGCGCGCATGCGCCATGGAAACCCCCGAAGAGGCCCATTGCTTGGTTGTTGCTTTCTGCGCGAACACCGTGGGAACAAAATCTGGGTGATCTCGATCAGACGACGGTTTCTCTGCACGTAAGCAAGCCTTGGGGCGGAGATTGAAGTAGAAACCCCACTTGCCTTCAAGAAAGTGCTTGCCGCACGAACGGTCGTCCTTGCGAGGCGACCATTCTTTTCGATCCACGAATATTATCCAACTTCTGCGCTTTTCAGAGTACTCCGGGAACTTGTGGAAACTCACCCTGCTACTTTTGCTGTACCCCTCGATGGAATTAACGGCTACACAGCCGTAAATCACACCAAAAGCAGGCTGAAATGCTCTGACGCCCATGCAAAACGTGCTCCTTTCTGACCACACCACCGGGCTCCGGCGAGATCGCAGCACCGCCGCAGCTCCGTGACGTCAAGCCCGAGTGTCGGTCTATAAGTATACCTCGGTCACCAACGTCCGACCTGGTTACAGCCTTAGGTTGAGCTAGTTGGTACATATTAGTGATCTCTATTTCTGTAAATTCAAGCTGACTCATCACTAACACGTCTGACTTGAACTTAAATACGCATATTGACCAAATTATTGTAAGAGAAGTACATAAACTTGGATTTTCCGCAGGAATTCTGAACGTGGATCATATGATACTAAGTTGTTGTTATATAAAATGCTTATTAGACCTAGTACGCTAGGAGTGTCTGGGACTCGCACGCGCCTTGTAACATAGCTAATTTAGAAAGTATTCAGAGGCTTGCAGCGCGTTCTATTTATAATATGTATTCTTCCTATGTATCTCCCACAGACTTGTGTTCTAGAGCAGGACTTGGAACGTTACATGTGACAAGAAAACTAAATCGGCTGAAATTGCCTTATTTAATTGCAAGCAATGAGCTCGGAAAAAACGAAAATTGCTACCTTGAATGTTTTTGCCCAAAGTAACCAAATATTCCCACCAGAAGACTCTCAAACCATATAAATATAATAATGATTAATTTAAATACTCCTTCATTCCTAGAGAAGTAATTGACTGGAACAACCTGCCACTCAATGTTGTTAATGCAGCCACCTATTCTGATTTTAGAGCGCAGTTCTTAGGCGCCCGTTTCCGTGTTGAGCAGCGTCGGCGTATCCGCGCATCCGCGCGTCGCATTATGGGTCGTCTCCACACTAAGGTCGGCGGGGAAATTTTCCTGATAAATTTAGCGGGAAAATTTCCCCACTAAATCTAGTGGAAAAATTTTCGATAAATTTTTCGCTATATCTAGCGGAAATATTTCCCCGCAATATTTAGCGGGGCAATTTTCGATAACTTTAGCGGGACATTTATCAAAAATTTTCCCGCTAAATTGGAAGGGAGCAAAAGAGGAGGAGGGTAAGTTAAAGAGGGAAAGAGGGGCACAACCTCCCCTCCTCCTCCTCAAGAGCTGCGCTCTAATTCGGCATTACAGAGAATGGTAAACGTCTTTCATTCTTCTGCAATGTTCTTTGTCAATGAGTGCACCATGCAATATTTGTATTTATGTGCGTTCCACTCCTGCTACGGTATGTAAAGAGGTGAGCACTATGAATAAACAAACAAAAAAAACAAAAAAGGGGGCAACGATGATAACGGTTAGATCAATGTTGGCTACGCCAATGCCGTAATCTCGACTGCGCTGTTCGTTGCGCCTCAAGTCGCGCGCTAAAAGCAATTTATTGTGTGTATGTTTATACAGCCGGAAGTTAGTCTGCCTCAGTGGACGTCTGGTTTCTCAGCTGTAGATGAGAAATTTAGCCAGTGCGATATCAACCGCTAGCCTGTGGAGTCTTTAACGTGCACCGCGCAGTAGTGATACACGACCGGACGCCGGTACGATGCTCATCCAGATTGAAACAGGCAGGGGCGGGGATTGAACCCAAGATCCCTGGGTTCTGCAGCGCGAGCTATCGCTCCACGCGTTCCGAGTTGGTGTGCGCTAGCGCACTTGCCCACTCGGGCACCGATCCCCCCAATTCGGCCCCTTGAGTCGGTCGATTTCGATAACTTGACGGGTTGCAAAGTTTGAAGGACCGTTAAGAAACATTTAGAAAGAACTATGTCGTAATATTTGACGTGTGGTCTTCCTAGCTGATACTGAAGAGCACTGCATTTTCTTTTGTTTTCAAAAACGATACTGAAGCGGAGTTACCCTCTGATGTGATCTCGTACTAAGCATGCACTTTAAACATCATCCTCAAATACATACGGCGTCCAGTGAATAGCCTCTATAAATTTAAGTGAAGGAGCAACCTAAACCATGAGCGTTTGAAATATACTGGCCGACGCCTCCTGCGCAAATTGGCCGTAGGTGCGCATGCGTTGCAATGCTGGGTGGCAAAAAGGACTCCTACTGTAACACGGCCCATTAACCATGGCACCCTGATCAAGCAGTTGGAAGCTCTCTGAAATATTGGCTCTCTAGGGTAACCCACCGGACGATGCACTTAGAGAGTCAGGATGAGTTCTAAAACGAGGGAACGACTTTGATGCCCAGATGTTCGTGGATCAGCGCCGGTACTACCAGACAGTCATCGTGTTCACCGGCGGGGACGGAACCTGGGTGCTGAAGCTCCCTGAGCTCCGGTTCATGGCGGTGCCGTCGATCCACAACCCGCACGTGAAAGAGCTGAAGGCCAGAAGGAGCGAGGAGCCCCCGCCGAAGACGAGACGCGTATCTCGAAAGGCGTAAGTTATAGCTATAGCCTATAAGCCAGTTTTCGATCGTGTACACATAACGCGGTATTATGTGAAGTGAAATTTGAGCGTTGGACAGCAAGTCGGTCGCTCTCTCTCCAGGCGTGCATAGTATCTGTTGTACGTTTCGGGATTTCTGACAGTGCCTGGATAAAGGTGGACGCTGCTAAAAATCCTTTTTACGCTGGCAAGGCGAGCGTCCCATGTATTTTGATAATCCAGATGTGATGCGAATACAAATCCTAGTCATTCGTAACGCCACATGAGCTTATAAACATATCGCAAAAGTTGACTCAGCAGATTGTAAGAACCTAAATCATAGCCTCGAAGCCTCAGAATCGCAGTCTACACTTTGCTAAAGACTTGACTGAGCTCCTTCTGAGCCAAATCATCAGCGCTTATTTACATCTCTTCTGAATGTCGGATGTCGCTCTGGGGCTTTCAGCAGGTCCCTCTTCAAACTTGTATAAAATCATCTCTTAAGAACATAATAAGAGCTAACACTTCAGTCAGGTGTCTTGGCAACCTTTCTAGTCGCCCCCTCAATTGCTTTTTAATTTGTAGCACTGTTTAATTTATAGCTTTTACTCACACTGGAGTGCCGCCAAATGTAAGCGTTTGTCTTTCCTATCAGTAGCGACGGGGCGTCCAGCAGTCGAACCCCCTCGCAGCGAACCCAGCCCCAGGAGGGCCAACACCCTTCGGGGAAGAACATCCCTACTCCGACACCACAGAGTGACTCCGCAGCTTCTGACGTCTCCTCCCCGATGCTCGCTCTGTCCGGACGTCAGCCTGCGGGAACCAGCAGCATCCCGCCCACTTCTTTCGTTCTGACCCCACGTGACGTGCCCCGTGACCTTAGACCTTCTACCTCTGCACATGCTGTTACTAGCTTCATCCAGCCACCTCCCCCTGCTAGGGGCCCAAGTGACTTGTTCTGTGACCATCGACCAGGAATAGCAACTCTCTCCGCATATTGTAGAACCAGCTGCATTCAGCCACTTCCTCTTGTTATTGCCTCAAGTGAAGTGTCCTGTGGCCTTGGAGCTCAAACGGCCCCTTTCTCTGCACAAGATAGGACCAGCTGCATTCAGCCTGCTTCTGGTCTAGCCTCAAGTGACCAGTCCCGTGATGTTGAACCTCTAACGGACCCCTTCTCTGCACATGCAAGAGCCAGTTGCACCATCTCACCTCCTCGTGTTTCAGGTGACCTGCCCCGTGACCTTGAACCTCCAACGGACCCCTTCGCTGCGCTTGCTAGAACCAGCTGCATCCCTCCAACTCCTTCTGCTCTTGCCTTAAGTAACGTGTTCCGTGACCCTGATCCTCGAATGGACCCTTTTTCTGCACATAATAGAGCTAGCTGCATCCTGCCACCTTTTCCTGCTCTAATATCAAGGGACGTGTTTCCTGACTTTGGACCTCAAACAGACCCCCTCGCTGCACATCCGAGAGCCAGTTGCACCATGTCACCTCCTGGTGCTTCAGGTGACCTGCCCCGTGACCTTGGACCTCGAGCGGAACCCTTCTTTGTCCAACCCACTGCCGTCACATCTTACCCAGGATATGTCAGCGAGTACGAAAAATATTTCATTGTGTCGTCTACGACGGATAGTACGGAACACGCCCCACAACTTCCAAGTTTCGGCTTGGAGTACGCGGCTGGCGAAGAGACCCGCAGTTTGGTCGAAGTCCCGGTCGAGATGGCAGCATCCAGGGGTCCCACTTCCGAAGAATCCCATTCTCAATTAGCTACCGCTTGCGCGCATGACGGTGGACCTAGCCACGTCTCCCTTGCAGGATCATCCCAAGCTTTCGCTCAACATCCCGGGGCTTTAGATCTTGTGGTTTCGGAACTTTGGGACGAAGAGGACTACATTCCCGAGACCGACCACAATAAAGAACCATAGTTCAGGAATCCAGTTCTCAACACTGAACATTCTGGATCTTGATTGACACTTGTGCTGACGTATCGTTAACGTGGGACGAAGATTTGTGTATCAAACGAACATTTTTAGTGACCTTCGATCATTCTGTAGGGCATTTCAATATAGTTTGTTTTCTTTTTTTATGTAAGGCGTATATGTGCTTGAACTGCGCGTTTTATGCATTGGACGAGCTCGCCGCTTGGCATTGAGATTTGTGGAAATGTTTTAGTCAATATTCAACAAATAGTTTCCTGCTTTTATATCTAATGAACTTTGTTTTACTTGTACGCTCCGAACGATATCATTTAGTAAGCCTTTCCTATAATCCAACTTTCACTGATCCAGAGTAACAAAAACATGTCCAGAGTACACGCAATGTGGTGTTTATTTAACATGATGGTAAGCCCCGAGATTGGAAGAGAACAGTATTAAGACATGTAATAAGACAGACGCTTTGTTCACCCTCTCCCCACCCCCTTCCCGTCATCTATTATTTGTCCTCTTACATTTTCAGTTTAGTTTTCCCGCAGTCTTGGGTTTTACTATCCTGTACAGAGAAATAACTGCAGTTGCCACGTAATACATAGTTCATGCTCACTTGAGTTTGCAGTTTTATCTGTATATGGTATACGTAAACGAAAATACAATCAACCTGGAAGCTTATATTTAGTTTAATATGCAATAGAGGTTTCATTTTAATTGGCTCTTGAGCCTTCTTTCCTGAATATAATCAGTAGGTTTTTTTGTGGTATGTCTGCAAGTTTTCTCAATGTTTGTGGCGAGCGCTGCATTGATGTCGTTTTCTGTGGGAAATATGATCAATATTGAATAAACTCATGATAGTTTACTGTGAGATCGAGTGAGACGGTGTTTTTGTAAGCTTATAAGGGTATGTATGAGATCATGGCAGTGTGATGTACCGGTTCATTTTGGGATATTGCAAGAATATATATCTTTAATTGTTTAAGCTACAATTGGTTGGTTTTACGAGAAGCGTGTTTTCTTGTCTGCGACCGCGCCCAGTCTGTTGCATCTCCGTGGCTCGCCACTCCCGGTGTCTCCCCTCCCGGTATATCCGGTTGAATCCGGCGTTGCTTGGGCTCGACCAATAGGACGTGGTCGCTATACACGACAAAGACGCACATAATATACGACAGGTCGCACATCTGAAGAATTGAGTGTGCGTGAGTAGGAGTGATGGTGTAAGTGTAGTGGTTTCCATGAACGAGCGGAGAGCTCCAGTGATCAGCCCTGAAGATTTAGTACTACCGGATTAAGGTTCTTGGGTGCCACTGGCTAGTGCGACAAGACTTATGAGTAGTGGCTACACGGCGCCTATCAAAAAAGGGTGGGGTGGATATATTGACATCTTGAACGAAAATGGAATGACCGGTCATGTATTGCCGGTAGTAAAACACCAATTGCATGGCGTTGACACGTCTTAGAACCAGGGCCGTACCCAGAAAAAAATTTCGGGGGGGTTTTCGGGGACAACGGCGGCCATTTTGAAAGTGTCTATGGCCTATTTTCGCCTATGAATCATGTGCGTCGGTTTCATATAATGGAGAGTTAGAGCAAACCGGAGAACCGGTCTCGGTTTAGTACCCGGTAGCCGACCGGCGCCACTGCGCGTGCGCAGAGGTGGAGATTAAAATCGGCTGGCTGCCAGTGCACCGACCAGGGCCGTACCCAGAAAACAATTTCGGGGGGGGGGGGGGGGGGGTCAGAACCCCCTAACCCCCCCCCCCCCCCCCCCCTGGTTACGGCCCTGCTTAGAACATGCGACCACACCCAATGTATCTTCGACCGCTAGACCGCAAATGCAGTCCGGCGATGGCGTGTCAATATCGGATTTGCGACTTACTCAATAAATAGATCCCCGGCTTTATCCCGGCGCCTACATGTACCCCTCGGAACGTTGAAATGAAGGTCTAGAGCGTAATGAAGAGCCGCCTGGGCATGGTCGGTGAACCACGTGAACAGTGTCACGTGGCTCATAAGCGCTAACAGATGTCTTTGATAATAGACCGCGTATAACACCGGAAAATATTTGAACTTTTGGATGTCGCGCCGTCACGTCCTGGTATAGCCAGGGACCTTCCGAAGAGTGCTTCGCAGCTTTTAAGTCACTGTCACACTACTCATACATCACACAAAGAACAGAACACGCTATTCGGAGCAGACATGAAAGGAATATTAGCGGGCCCACCTCATGCAAGTATCTTTGTTTCTTAAATATCAGGGCTGGGCAATACACCGATACAAGTGCATCGCGATAGTATCTTGAAGTAACTTTCGAGTACTACCTGTATCTCTGTATCGAGATACTTTTGAAAAATGTGTTTGTATTCAGTAGTGAAATACATGTGCGATGTATCGCTTGTATCGCGATACTCTGCCAGGCTTGGGGATCTCGTTGGTTTTGTTTTCAAGAATGAAATGTCGCTTTTATACGATTAATTGAAAAGCACCATTTTAGAGCAGGGGTCCCACAATTTGTAATATGCACACGCCGCACAACCCAATCTACAGGGGGGATACCTGCCCTTTTGGGGTATATTATGGTCATCATACTTTAAAAAGAATGGACCGCATCTTTATGTGGTGAATGATGTTGATTGGGGCGAAGCTCTGGTGGTGCTTGTCTGCGTAGACGCTGAGCCGCAACATGCCGAGCCTTTTGTTCGTTGCCATCCATGTCAGAAAGAGAATGTGTGGTATGGAACGTGGTTATATACGCATTTGACCGCAGCGCCCTCTCGTCTATAAACGTTGAGCTAATGCATGCAAAGTTTAACGCGATTATATATGCATTTGACCGCAGCGCCCTCTCGTGTATAGACGTTGAGCGGCTACATGCAGCGTTTCATCCATGACATCCCCAGCTTTTGAGTCACTACCACATCTCATAGCCCCCTACTCCTCCCGCAGTCGTAGCCGAATGGTTAATCCGATGGACTAGAAATCCATTGGGTTTCCCCACACAGGTTCGAATCCTGTCGACTGCGCAAACATTTCTTTTCTTTTTTTCATTTTCTTTTGTTTTCTCTACACGAGCACGTGAGCACGTGTTCACGTGCTCGTGTGCACGTCAGCTCACGAGCACGATCACGAGCACCAGCAAGATCGATGTGAGCACGGACGCCAGATGGTCAAGGCTAGACCCTAAGGGGGTATTCACACGAGGGAGAAATCCCGGGGATTTCTCCCCGGCACGCGCGCATCACGAGATAAAAACGCGAGGCTTTTGCACATCTCAAAGCCTGACGTTTTCGTCGTGGGATGCGCGTGCCGGGGAGAAATCCCCGGGATTTCTCCCTTGTGTGAATACCCCTTAAGAAGCTTCGCCCCTAAGCCCCTAATAAAGAAAAAGGCAAAAGAAGGTGGTTCGAAGAATGTGTCACTTGCAAGACGAGGAGTATAAACTTCACTCAGAACCATGTTTTGCCATGAAGCCGTGTATCCTATTCTGAGCGCAAGTTCGTCTGCTGCTTGTGCAGAGGTTGCGATGATGTCAGAGCGCCGGGCTCTCATTGGCTGATTGAAAGAAACAGTGGGTAGACCTCAATGGACCCTTTCCGAAAATCAGTGCCATCCGGCGGTTTATAAAGCAGTTTAGGTTTTGCCATATCAATGGCGGAAATGAACTTTTATCAGCACCGTCACTTTCGCAAGTCAACGGCACGCGAGGAATTGTTCAGTGTGAGTTCTTTCTCGATCGCTTTCAGTTCGATGGTGACCAAGAACCTGCACTGAGAACAAAGCTCCAACCCACTCAGATGCCTCGAGAAAATTCTATACTCCAAGGTGCTTTAAAGCTGATTGTGTGCCGCCCACAGATTGACTGAATCTGTGTTATTATAAATAAACGCTTACGTAGCTCTTGTGTTCCATTCCTACGGCGCGTCGTACTGTCCCCCCGAATGTACAGGCCTCGCAAATCCGCTTAGGAGCATCTTCAACGTCTTTCTTTATCAGTCACTAGAAGGCCGCCATTGGTATGGCACAGATGCCGATCCACTGATGATTATAGTAATCAAAGTGGCCAGACTGAATTTCGGAAAGGGTCTATTAATCTAGCATTGAGGTTTACCGCAATCCGTTTAATCAAAATCAACAGGAGCTCTGTGTCGCTCTTACGTCACTGCAACTCCTGCGTAAGAAGCGGACGACTTCCTCCCCGCATTAAGCTAAACCTTCATGGCAAAACAAGGTTCATGTCGGGATGACGCCTTCTCTCGAGCATGTCAAACCGTTGCTGGTATTCAGTACCTATGTGGGTCACTGGGGCGACAATATTTTTTAGCGGCGTTCAGAATGGCAGCCGTGAATAGATAAAGAGTCTGACGTAATGGGACGCGCATAAATTGTCATAACAGAAGGAATACTAGCCCGCCATTTGCACTCCTTGTTACGAACTGCACCCTTTGCAACTACCACTGTTCGGGGAAAAAATTATTTCCCTTATATGCGTGATCTGCATTCCGGAACACTTTTCTGACGCTTTTGCAGAGGCATTGCAGGAATATCCAGTTACATAAAAGGCGAATGAACTCGGTATTTTTATCTTGGCATTAATATAGATGTATCTCAGTATTTGTATTCCGGAATCCTTTTTTGGGGTATCTGTGTCCAGCCCCAATACATGTGTCGAACCTAAAGACAGTTTTTCTATCAACAATGTAAAAGGACTGTCATAAGAGAAATAAAAATACCATCGGGGACAGTGTCTGCACACTGTCTGTTCTCTTATGAATTAGCAGTGCCATAGGTTACGCCGTCTTGCCTGCATGTTCATGTCTCACCAAATCTCTGTTTTACATTAAGCCCGCCGCAACCAGCACTACCCCTTACAAAAAAATGAATTGACTTTCAATTGAAAGTGTAAAGGACTCACTCAATAGACCGCATTCAGTCTCAATTGAAACTTAATTGACTTTTTCTATTGAGTCGCTATTGATCCTTCCCAGGGTATTGGCCACTGAGTCTTCATTGAATTTTTAGCAATTGCATTTCAATGGAATTTTGGCAATAGTGTTTCAATAGAACTTTTGCTTATGAGTTTTAATAAAAATATTGCAATCGACTTTCAATTGAATTTTCGCAACGTGCTTCAATAGGATTTATTGGAACTGCGTTTAAAAAAAATTGCTCTGGTTGAGAATTTTTTTTTTATAATTCTTTAAAGCATGCAACATGAAGGAAACAAAGCACATACAGGAAACGAACACAAACATCGTAACTAAGCACTCACAACCCACTAATCGTACTACCCTTGACTACCCTACCGCCTTATATACCCTACATAAGAAAGGTATTCATTTGGCCGGTGACCACCTCCGCATCTACTAAGGTTCCCAGTTTGCTATTTCCTCCTTGGAAGTCTCATAAGTGATAAACAGTGTTCCGACGTCATTGGACTTTATCCCTTAATAGAAAAACATTGGTACAAGCAATAATCGTTTGGTGCACATGGGTGCAGTAATCCACAAAGACCAAACTCAATTGCATTCCTAATGAGTAAATTCAATAGAATCGATATTGGCTTTCTTATGACCAAACTCAATTACATTCCTAATGAGTAAATTCAATAGGATCGATATTGAGTTTCTTATGACCAAACTCAATTGCATTCCTAATGAGTGAAGTTTATAGAATCGATATTGAGTTTCTTATGACAAAACTCAATTGCCTTCCTAATTAGTAAATTCAATTAAATCGATCTTGAGTTCTTAATGACCAAACTCAATTGCATTCCTAACGAGTAAATTCAATAGAATCAAAATTGAGTTTCTAATGATCAAACTCATTAGACATTGAGTTTATATTGAGTTTCAATTGACTCTATAGG